AATGTAAATAGAAGTGTATAGAGTGACTTTATTCATTGTTGAAATCCTAATTTTCTTAAGTGATGTCACAAAATACATAAATTTAAGTTAATTTTAATCTACTTTCATTTTAAATTGTCATTTATCACTTTGACCTAGGAGATTGTATAACCAAACCAAGCCCAACAGCAGACAAAGTATGACCCCAATAACATTAGTTTATTAGTTGAAAACAAAATTACTTTGCTTGTTTATATGCTGGACTTCTGGCTATTGTAACCCGATATTTCCCCGGTAAAGAAAATACTATAAGTAACCTAAGGGATTTACCATGTTTTGGCCATCAGGAATCATAACCACCAGCTGGGCATTATGGTCCCATATCATCCTCCAGAAATCCTTGATGGTATGGAGAAGGGGATGCTGGGTGATGATGAATTCATTGCTCTGATAATAACCCTACAAAACCAAGGAGAAGATAAGAAGAGCCCTGACATATGCCTTTAAACATGCACATAACCATTTATAAGTTAATGGATTTTAAGTCAAAGTAGTCTTTTGAATTGCATAGTGTGTCTATACCTAATAATTTGATTATTATAGCCAATGTTTACTGGCCACTTGCTACATGCTAGCTATAGCACTAAGTGTTTTCTTCCTCAAGTCATTTATTCCTCACGGCAATACTATGAGATAGGAACTGTGATCTGTCTGCCCTCCCCATTTTACAGGTTATGAAACTGAGGCTTAAGAAGTTAAATGGTATGCTCAAGTTTACCTTAAAAAGTTAAGTGTAGTACTCAAGGTTAGCTTGTAGTGAATGTTTATAAATTTTGTTACCTTTTACATATAAGTTGGACTTCCTCATGCAGAAAAAAGGAGGGCTCAGTTGCCCTTGACACAGTTTCCAGTTCTATACCCTCTACCGCCCCCCCACCGTCCTTCCTTAATGCGGTCGATCCAGATATCTACCTGATAAAGATTCCTGGTGACTGCTTCACTATGGAACATCTAGAGACGTCCTAGTGGACTGGTGCTGCTGACCCTCAAACTGCATGGACTGTGCAGACAGACCACAGTGACTGCCTCTCAGTCACTACATGACCGCCTGGAACTCATGCCTGCTTGCTTTAAACCCACCGATTAAAAGTCCCCTGGGAAACCTGTTTGGGCAACGGGCTAGACTCAATGACAGCCTTGGGCCCTCAAGTCCTTTTCTCTCTCTCCCAGCTTGTGTTCCCTAACCTCTGTGTGTGTGGCTTCCAGGTGAGCCATGTATCCTCCAGGGTCTGTAAGTATTTAGGACTCTTAAACTTTCACACTGTGGTTGCCTCATTGAAGCCAAGGCTGCAATCTGACCCCCCATGGTGAGACTGCCCAAGGGACCTATGCCAGTGGATCCCCTGCTGGTGTTCTTTGGTACCAGCTAAGTTGATAGTGAAACTCAAAAGAGCTTGATTCAAAACACATCTCTGGGAGCGGACTTACCAAAATGGCTCGTGGAAAGTATCTCCTGCACTAGAAAGAGTGGAAATCTACAGGAGAATTTACATTTCTCACTTTCCACAAGTCCCCATGACAGAATGCCAAGTTCACATCTGTCTACTCACAACAGGACACCTTTGGTGTCCAGGCACCTTGGTTGCCTCTACAAAAGAGGAAATAGGGACATCCCTTGCAGATTTTCCTGCAGAAACCTGGAATCCAGTACCATTGGATTATTCATGATTTCCTGATGTTACTTACTAAAATCATGGCTCTCCTAGTCCCTTCTGCTTTTAGATCCCATTCCTATTCCCCAAGGGCTTATTTGTAGGGTGAAATGTATTTAGAAGCCACTACCACATATCTCCCTGTTTTTTGCATGGATATTCCTCAATATTTTGTTTTCTGGATAAATAGAGCAGAGATTTTGGAATAGGAATTAGAACCCTTTCATCTGAAGTCAGGCTTTATGATTGATTGACCTGAAAATAATATTGAAGATCACACAACAGGTACTAAAGCACTTATCTCTCACAGAGAAGCTCATAGAACAAAAGTGTTGTATCTTTAGAAATCCAGGTCTCTCATGAGCCCAGTTTGCAGGTGAGAACTGTGCTGCAAACCTAGAGTAGTAATGTCAGTGAGATTGGGCTTTCCTGAAGCTGGTGCACCTGGGTTTGCTCAGGGGCCCTGCCTTGGTAAATGAAATGAAGCCTCTTAGATGGGCAAGTGTAAGTTTTATATCTACTCATCAGCCCTGAATGTGAGTTTGGGTTCCTGCATTTACTCATGTGTCTTACTTGAGGTTTTTTCAGTCCCAGCGCACATAAAAGCATCAAGGAATGCTGTTATTCCACTCTTGCTGTGGGCCGTGGGCTTGCAGTCATCAGATTTGGCTTATATTTACCAGTGGTGCTGCCCCGTGTCTGCAGTCTCTGCTGCAGGCAGCCCACTCTGGTTTTTATTTCCATAACACAGGGTGGCAGGCAGTCTCCCCAGCGACTTCCCTGACTTACCATGATATAGGAGGCATTGATGTAGTCTGTACCTTCCCCATTCAGGGACGAAATGCCAACCCTCGATCTTTCCACTGGAACATAGAACATTCACTGTCAACAGCCATGCTCACAGCACTGTACCATTCCTCCCCCACTGCCAAATGTAAAATATAGCTGCATTTCTCAAGTTGAGTGTCTTTGATCCGTAAGCTAATTTTTCTGTACACTTTGCATTCTTAGATGAGACTTCAAGAGTTTATGAGTCC